CTGGAAATACTATAGAACTCTCCTGGTTCGGGTAGTGCAGAAGGTAGAAGTAATGAAATTAAGATCACATATAATTAACTCATTTGTTGTATCCCATATTAGACACAAAATATGTGCAGAATTAATATGTTACTGAAACGTTAATAATATTTTCGCTCATATAATCACCTTTCCGTCTTTTAAAAGTGATTGGCCGCATTTTACTACCCCTGGCACTGTATATGGCTTTCCAGGTTTTTCACCATCTTGCACCAGCACTGTGTTATTATTCTGTCTTTTTGATTATAGCCATCCCGATTAGAGGTGTGATGAAGATATCTCCATTGCCAGTATTGATTGTATCTGTAGATAATGATGTTGAACATCTTTGCTGGTGGTATTGAGTTGTGTTATATTATGTCGTTCTATTGTTTGACCCCATTTCGAAAGCGTTGTGATACTTAGTTGTATGTGTTGTTTATATATCCTGGATTATAAAGTCTGTATCAGGTACCTTAATTCTAAATATCTGCACCATGTTTATAGGAATTAAGTTTTCAAACAGATGGGTTTAGATAACAAGTTCAAGGACCACTTTGTAAAATACTGTGTTATTGCCATCACTTAGAAACCTTAATAATTGAAAATTAGTTGAGTTAGTAATTTATCTGTTTGCTTTTCTTGAGTTGTATACTGTAGTATTTAATACTTTCGTCTAGTTGGCTGTTAAGATGTGTTTCATCTATGCAGTCTAACGTGTCGTCCACTCAAGTAAAGTTATGTTCCTAGACTCATTGAATGAATATCCAATAAATGAAATATGTTAAAGGCAATGTTGGCCTACTGCCATTCTTAGAGTTGTTTTGCTGAGTGATTGGAAATCTCAGCCTAAGTACTCACTTTTCTGCATAAGGCTGTATGACAGTCTCAGAGGATTGTTTCGTGACTGGGAAAGTGGGAAGATGAAAACATGATGCAGCCAAGGTCTTAGCAGAAGCATGGTAAGTAAAGAGCTGGTTCTTCAGAGGAAGGACTGGCTTCTCAAACTTTATTTTTCTTCTGGAATCTTAGACAATAGTCAATTGAAATCATAGATCACTTTGTGAAATGCTGTGTGTGTGGGGGGGATTCACGACAGGAGTAATGAGCCAGGTAACTATTCGGATTTGTCTTTTATATGATCTTATTTTCTCAGTTTGGGGCTGACTGATACTTAGCTAGCATATGGACTTGAAAATGTGGCAACTTTCCGATAATTTATGCACATGGTGATTTGTTAAAATAGGATGTTTGTGTGATGTGAAAATATACACAATAGCAGTTTTTTTTTTCTTTTGATAAATAAAGGTAGTATGCATTTGTGCGAAATTTAGATATGAAAAATACAGAACATTACGGGATTCTACACCTTATAAGGAAACTTTGTTAACTTCTTGATTAGTATTTATTCTAGTCACTAAAAATCATGTGTATAAAACATTTCTCTCGCTCTCGCTATTATATATAACTATTTGAGAGGAGGATTGCTTAAGTGATGTACTTTATATAAATTTTGTCATAAATTTTTTCAAAGGTTTCATTTTTATATTTGGAATATCATACATAATTCAAGTCACAATTTTTCCACATCAAGTTGTTTTGTCTTTGCTTATTTTTTTAAGAACTCCAACTGAACAACTTTGGAAATAAATTCTTGGCCCACACTTTTTATGCTGCTGTTACACCAGGCTGGAGGTGCTTTGGTGATTTGGGTCCACGGCCACTGCGCTCCAGCTCGAGACCCAAGATCTCACTGAGGTAGCTAGGACACGCATGCATCACGCATCCCCAGCTTAATTTTTTTAATTTTTTTGTTGCGACAGTCATTTCTGTTGTCCAGGTTGATATCAAACTGCCTAGGCTTAAGAGATCCTCGCTGGCCTCAGTCCTCCGAGAGATATCCAAAATAAAAATCAAATGTAAATCCTATCCAACCGTTAGATGTTTTGTCTATAAGGTAACTAGAAACATGTGGCTATTTAAATTAATTAAGATTAAATAAAATTTAAAATTTTAGTTCTCTAGTCTCGCTGGCCACATTTAAAGAGCTCAGTAGCCACAAGTAGCCACAACCCACAGCTCAGATATACATTCCGCTCATCACAGAAGTGCTATTAGTATTGCTCAGTACCCATTCACAGGAAATACAGGAGGGCCTGTGAAACTGCAGAGGGATGCAAAGCAATCCACAAAGTCCAGAATGCAAGAAATTCTGCAGACCAAAGACTTGGTTTCTTAAATAAAATGTAACCAAAAAAAAAAGAAATGGGAAGGAAAGATTGTTGACTAAAAGTGTTAAAAGATAGAGTGAAAAACAGTAATGAAAATCGGGTAAAAGTAAACTATGATGCTTATGGAAGCATGGACGAGGAAACCAGGAAGAAAAGGAAAGAGTCCCCATAAGAGGCTGGACCACACCTCCTTCTACAGGGAGGAAGGGGACTGTGGCTGGTGTCGCAATTGAGCAGCAAAGCTTGATTTTCCAGCCTGAGTGCTGGGGCCTTCACCTTCTGGCAACCCATTAAGTTAAACAATTGTTTTCATGTGGTTTTCTACATCTATATTAAATTTCACCATAAAGAATGGTTAAATAAAATCTCTTAAAGTTCATTATGTGGTACCTGGTGAATTACAACAGGCAGTATGATAGCAATTGGGCCTCTGTGAGAAGCGACATCTAAGCCAAACAGAATTGACAAAAAAGAAGGCAATCTTTGGAAGATCAGAACATTGCAGAAAAGAATATAGAGAAAGGGGCTGGCACGATGGCTCACTCCTGTAATCCCAGCAGGCTGGGACGCCAAGGCAGGAAGATCACTCGAGCCCAGAGATTGAGACTAGCTCAACATGGTGAAACATTTTCTCTACAAAAAAATGCAAAAATTAGCCAGGCCTGGTGGCTCATGCCTATAGTCCCAGCTACTCTGGAGGCTGAGGTGGGAAGATCCCTTGACCCCAAGAGGTCGAGTCTGCATTGAGCCATACGCTCATGCCACTGCACTCCAGTCCAAGATGCAGAGCAAGACGGTGTCTCAAAAAAAAAACAAAACAAAACAAAACAAAAGGAGAATTTGAGAGGCTGAGGCAGATGGATCATGAGGTCAGGAGTTCAAGACCAGCCTGGCCAACATGGTAAAACCCCATCTCTACTAAAAATACAAAAATTAGCCGGGCATGGTGGCACATGCCTATAATCCCAGCTACTCCTGAGGCTGAGGCAGGAGAATTGCTTGAACCGGTACCCGGGAGGTGGAGGTTGCAGTGAGCCGAGATCGCACCACTGCACTCCAGCCTGGGCAACAGAGTGAGACTTCATCTCAAAAAAAAAAAAAAAAAAGAGAGAGAGAAAGAGAAGACGTCTAAGAGGAGGGTAAGCTGTAGTGAGTTTGAGTACTGAATGAATTCCAGTGTGATTACAAAGTGGTGAGCTGCAGGAAGAACATTTACAGGTATCACAGATTTCTCTATGCTTACAAACAGCAGGAACTTAAATGTTAACTCAGGAGTGCTACGTATATCCTAGTGATAAGGCACAAAATACATCTGATGTATAAAAACTTACGTGCGCCACTTCAAAATGAAAATGCACACTACTGTCCACACTGGAAGCTGAACCTGTCCTCCGTGGGCCATGTACATGGTCTAACTAAACTCAGAACATGTTACTGCTTAGGATGCATGAAGTGCCCACTGTAATATCTGGGAGAATGACCTGTAATCCTGTAAAAATAAGAAGCCAACAACAGGTAAGCAATATTGACATCAGATAATCTTATTCTAGAACAATCCTCTAATAAATCAAATGTACTACCCAGCCTTACTTCCTCTAAATCCCAGTCATGGGGGGCCTCCACAAGAAATCTGGAGTGGTCCAAAGAGTCAGCCTTGTGCTTCCAGTCTCTGTCAGGCTGGTTGACGTGAAACAACCCTGCAAGCTCTTCTTGGGTATCATGATCTTCTTCTTCATTATCTTCTGCCACTAAAGAGGACGCCATGGCAGAAAAGTGAGAACAAAAACTACAGCCCTGGAGGACTCATTGTTTTCGACAAGTTAGGCCATGAGTCTTCGAACTCAGGAACTGAGGGCCCCTGTCTGTGGTGGATATAGCAATGGCCACATATGAGTTAGGCACTAAGAGGGCAGGGCAGTCACAGGTTAAGAGAGCCAGGAAGCTATTGCTCTACATGTGTGGGGCTCCTGCGCTCCTGCACGGCAGCAGCTAAGAGGCCGAGGAACGAGACTATTGGGGCTCAAGGGAGGGAAGGGACATTTAAAAGCAAAGCTTTAGATGATTAAAGAAGAGCTCTAAAGAGTGTTGAGCCTCTCATCACTAAGCGTACTTAGACAAAACCTGAATGAAAATCAGTTCACAGCAACCCTCCCAATTCAGTGTGCTGAGCCCAAATGTCTCACCATGTGGCCTTGATCTCATCGTGCAGTAACCAGGGAGCACAATGTAAAGTTCACCACTATCTATTTACTTTTGCATTAATTCTACCAGAAAGAACATACAGGTAAGTTTAATAAAGCATGAAATCAGAAGAGAAGGGCAAAAGGGAGAAAAAACTGTGTTATACAGGGTTCTCATTCTCAGAAAGGAAAAAATAAATATTTTTATGGTCAGAAGTATTTTTCTAGCACCAAATTCTCAAAAAGTTTCTCATGAAGGACTTTTAAATAGGGGACATAACATGATGCAATGGACAGTATTTGCATCAAGTTTTAAAACAAACCCATAAGTCTACTTCATAAGACCAAAGTGTGGTCCTCATAAGTTGATGATTAATCTGCCAAATATGAAATGTGATGGCCAGCAATTATGGATGTCAACAATACCAGCCCAATCAACCAATTCCCTCATCTCCTTTTCAGAAAACAAACAGAGAAACTAAAACGTTTCCAGCTCTGAACCAGAATTCTTTACCGGTCCCGTAAATAAGCTTTCAGAGGTTTGGAGCTGCTTGCTGCTGCCTCAGAAAGCCCTTCTGGAAAGGTCTTCCTTCCACTTGAGGGCACCTGAAATACCAAAGCCAACCTCCAGTTAGGCTTGTTCACGTGTCTCCCCTCCCTTGAGATCCATCCACAATGCAGCATTTCAACAGTTAATCTCAAAATCAACAGACCCCCAAATGTAGACATTTCACTGGGTACCACTTCGAGAGCCAAGTTCGTAGCAGCAACCAACTAAATTTAAGCTTATCTGAGGTTTCTTTGGAATCATTATTTTCTTCCTTGTAATCTTCTTCCTCTTTGAGTAAATCTTCTATATCACTAGTCTCATCAATTAAGTTCCTTGACCCCAGTTTCTGACCACTGCTCACTTGAGAAGGCTTTGAAAACTTTTTTCTAATAGCCTCGTCATCTTCTGAGTCCTTTTCCTCTGCACTGAGTGAGGAGCTTTCTTTAGATTTATCTTCCAATGCAAATGCCTCTTCAGCTGTGTAATGCCCAGAATCAGAAGTCATGAGGGCTGCTTTCTTCATCGGCAAAGACCAGATTCACACGGTCACTCTGGCGATTAGCTGGCGACAGCCCTGCTTTACTACCTTCTCCAACAGCCTTTGATCCTGAAATGCCCCCCTCTCCTGCAGTGCAGTCCTCTTCTTCACTGCTTTCATCAGCTTCCTCCACTTCCCCTTCTTCCGCTGAGCTCCTCTCAAGGTCATCATCACTGTCAGCAAATGCTGGCAAATCCATTTCACTGTCTTCTTCCAACTCTTCAAGTTTCCATTGTTTGATGCCCTTACCAGTCATATACTGATCAGTCATCTCAGCATTTTGCTCCTCTTCTGCTTCCTCATCACTAGAGCCATTTTCCAATCCATCATCTTCAGATATTTCATCATCTTCTTCATCATCACTATCTCCAGATTCACCTTCATCTCCAAAAATGGCTTTCTGACGCATTCACCCAGTTTTTAAGTCCGTTTGTTTTTCCTCCTTTGACATCAACAGCCTATGTTGCCAAGGAAATGCAAAATAATTTAACTTGTACATTAATCAGTTAATCTAGAAATGGCAATATAGTCAACGAAAATATAAAGAAATAGAAAATGTCAAGGAATTGTTTAAGACGACATAGCATAGGGAAAAAAAGATCTGATAAAAATTGGAACATTTAATAAACAAACTCAGGCATGGCTCCCTAACACCATACTTCAAAAGAACTTATAGGGAGAATAAAGAAATAAGCCTTTTTTTAAAAAAAAAAGATCTGAATTTTAGAAAAAGAAATTGCTTAAAAAAGGAAGTTACGTGTTTTGGTAGATCTTTTGGAAACCAGCTGGATTTAATTCTAAAGCCTGAAAAACACAGAGTGATCCTTAAGAGGAAGCATGTTGCCGAGTCCCAGGCGCCCAAGGCAGGAAAAGGGCAACATGAGCCTGGATCCTCTTGTCTGTTTCAGAAAGTTAAGAAATGCTCAAAGGACTCAAACAGGACAGTTGAAAGGACACAGGAGGCAGGCTGCAAGGCCTTCCCGTGGCCAATCTTGGGGACAGCATAGGCATCAGGAAGAATATGACTAGGATTGAAGATAACCCATGGAACAAAATGCAAGTATATTAGTCAGCAGTGATACCAAAATAAAGGGGAGAAGTGAAAGCTCTTTGTTAAAAATGCCAGCTAACAAATGTAGGAGGAATGACAGAGGAAGAACATCCATTTTAAGTCACCAGTGCCATAACTGACAGACAAGAATCATCAGGAGGCTAAAATCACAGGATGAAAGAAAACTGTATAAAGCTAATTAACATAGCAAGATATGTAAAATTATGAAAACACAAATTAGAAAAAAACTAAAAATCATACCATAAGAGATGGATAAGTTAGAATACAGCAATAATAGGCCAGGTATAGTGGCAGGATACAGATATAATAGGCCAGGCATAGTGGCTCACATCTGTAATCCCAGGACTTTGGGAGGCCAAGGCGGGAGGATTGCTTGAGCCCAGGAGTTCAAGACCAGCCTGGGCAACATAGTGAGACCTCGTCTCTAGAAAAAAACTAAAAAATTAGCCAGGTGTGGTGGCACACTCCTATAGTCCCAGCTACTTGTGGAGCTGGAGTGGGAGGATCACTTGAGCCTGGGAGTTCAAGGCTGCAGTGAGTCAAGATCACGCCACTGCACTCCAGCCTGGGAGACAAAGTGAGACTTTGTCTCAAAAAAAAAAAAAGAATATCCCAATAATAACAAAATGATGACTACATGAAGACTGTATAGAAAAAGGAAGTGCTCAGAATATAGAAATAAAATTATGTATTTTAACTATAATTGTATTAGAAGAGAGTATTCTTGTAGACAAGGATGACTAAAAGGATATGGAAAAATGAAAGTAGATAACAACACTCATAAAAGAGTGATCTTTCGGCGAACACTTCGTATCTGTCAGGCATCGTGCTAGGTAGTTTATGCACACTGTAACAAATTACATACTAGGTAATCTCAAAAATTTCAGATAAATTTTACTGGGAATCATCAATCAATCCAACAAAACCAATGTTTTGCAAACATCCACTATGTACAAAGGTATATAAATTCCCAACCCAGACTGAGAAATAATTCACATAAGACACACATCCATGGAAACCTACCCATGGGAGATAATACAACATAATCTAAATAAAACTTTCAGAGACAAGGCATGTGGCTTCTGGACAGCCACAAACTCCCTGACTGTTCTAGTGTTTTGGCCACCAAAAGAAAGCGGAGTGCCCTTAGGTCTCTTAAAAAAAAACAAAAAGTAACCTATAGAAGATGGTGTGGTATTTGAAGAATATTTGGGGTCTGTTGAAAAATGCATCCTGTATTTTATTTCAAGAAAATACTCCCTCGTAATGTCAGGTAAGTGAAAAGCCCTCAGAGACACATACACACACACCCACAAAACCAAAACAACCTAGAATGAATTCCACCAAAATGTGTTATGATAGCAGAATTACACATCTTCTAAAATGTATCTTTTTATTAAAAATAGAAAAAAAGCAGACTTCTCCTTGATTATCTATATCCTCTGACCCAAGTGGCTTGGAACCAGCAAACAGCGTCACCCGACTTGAAGCCATCTTGGCATCAGTGGTGGAGATGGTGGAGATGAGACTCTGGACCAGCTCATGGGTGGGCCCCACCTCGTCCTGTCAAGGCCACCAAGAAAAGGCACGTGAGGAAAGCACAAAGATCCTGGAGAGACACTGGTTTCACTCAGTTTCTCAAAATTATCTTAGACACATTTCCTGAGAACCTTTCTTAATGCCTCAAAAAGCAGAGAAGAAAATCCTTAGAGCAAAGCTTGAAATGGATCCCCATCTCCATTAAACTTTTCCAAACTTCAGGGAGTATGTAACCTGATAACCTAAACACCTAGCTAGAAAAATCTCAGTTCCAGTGCTACAACAATGCTAGCTTTTCTAACATCTTCAAATAACCCTGATTTTAACTCAATAAAATTCAACTACAAAACTAAGAAATCAACATTTAAAATCCACTTTAAAATACAGAATGAGGAGACCATTGTGAATGAGAAAAGGACCAATGAGAACTGGAAAGCACACTGATTTTGTAGAAACGGGGATGGGCTGTGCAGGCGCCACACGGCAGCAGGGCCCGCGCTGGGGCCATGGATCAAGGAGGCCTGGAGGACAGGACTCTTCTGTTTGGTAGAATGAAAAAAAAAGGTATTATTTTTATCCTATATATTTACAATATGCATTTGGGCCTTTATTATAAGTACAAGAGAAAAATCTTCAGTAAGTAAAAGCTGAGTACCTTACTTTTTGTGATTAAAAAACAGATTCAGAAAGAGTAATGAGAGTTCAGAACAATGACTCCCGTCTCACTGAAGCCTGAAAACCGTGGCTGCCACCAAGGCAACATAGACAGCATCTTTGTCATACAGCACACCCCAACCCCAGAAAGAGGCACATAAACCAGCTTCTCCTTCTCATTTAAACAGCGCTTCTTTTGTTGTTCAGGAAGAGCACAAGGGTCTGAGAGGAAACCGATGTCACTCATGGCAAAATCTCCTACCCTTGGAAGACAGGATCCAAAAAGCCAGCTTCAGCTGACAAGAAGTCAGAAGTATCCACTGTTGACTGGGGGGTTAAAAACGAGCCATAGTCCAAGGGCTTAACCCATGACACTAAAGAAGGGCATTGTGCCACACTGGAACAGTGGCCCTCTAGCTACAAGACAAGAGGTCAGAGAAGAGGGGATTTGGTAACACCTTTGCAGGCCTACACACAGCTGGGTTACTTTTAAAACCTCCAGCAAGGCCATCTTCCCTTGTTTGGTCACTTTTCAGTTTTTCTGAGAAATAACGCCATCCCAAGAATCCTATGTGTAATTCTAGTATGTTCTACAACAAGAGAATACCTGGCATGTGAATTTGGCTTTTACTTTTCAAGTGTGCTCCTCTTAAATAACCATAAAGTGACACCTGCCGGTCACATTTGATGTTTGTTCGGATATCCTCTGGGTTTGTCAAATCTTCCATCCTAGAAAAATAAACTCAATCATACAGTAGAAATGAATGCCAAAGTTCCTATACCTCCTTTCATGTGTCAATGACTCATCACACTCTTGTCCACTAAGCACGTCATTTAGAAAACTAGAAAATGAAGAAATAAGGAAGCACCGTTCACCATCCAGCAGAGGAAAAGGGGCAGGAACACAACTGTGTCTCTAGGCTGAAAGTGACATTTTCATTCCGGAAGACACCAGACAGGGAGGTGATGTCCACCTGGGGTCAGGGAAGAGTGAAGAACATATTCAGAAAATCCCTTTCTGGAAGAGGGTGAGCCTGTGCTCTGGGATTTTTGCTGTGGTTTGGATTCTGGCAGGTGGAGAAAGGATATCCCAGGCTGAGAAAACCACAGCACAAAGAAGAGCACAAAGGAAGGAAACTGAAGGCACACACGAGGACTCAAGCACCCGGGCACGAAGGCAGCATCACTGAAAACTGAGGATGAACGTAGGATGGGGCCACATCCTGTAGCCTTAAATGCTTCCAAGTCCTCCCATTCTCCTAAACATCTTATAATTAATTTACTCCCAAAGGCACAGCATCTTTGAGCAATGACATAAGTAGACATTTTCCATCAACTACACTTCTACCCCCACTATTCAAATAGGCACAAAATAAATCCTACCACTCTTCTTTTTCCAGTCTGTTTAGCTTTGAAATATATGGCCCAGGAAGAAAAAGTTTACAATCGCTTTTTACCTGTCTGCCAGGATATAAGGGTGAGAAGTTTGCCATGTGAGAGGCCTAAACTTCACAACTGTAATAAAATGGCCCAGATTGTGGATTTCTTGGTTTTGATATTCTCCATGCACCGTTCCAGAAAGGTAGAACAGCTTGGCACCCTAAACATTAAAGGAAAATTAAAAATTAAATTCCAATTAAATTCTCATCAATACTGCAACAAAATAAAAGCTCTTCTTGTTTACAAGAAGCAATCCTAAGAAGGGAGATTTGCAGCAAAGCCACTGTTCTGAGGCTTCCAGAGCCTTGCTGGCTTCTTTCAGGACTTATTAGAACCCCACAGAGGCAGAGGGCTCTGCAGCTGAGCAGGTTCATCTGTCTAAGTATGGTGAGAAGAGCGAGGTGAGGCATCTGAGCACAGAAATGTTTCTGTGGCTGATGGACCAAAGCAGCATGGAAAGGAAGGGGCAGTGCCCGGTCCTGTAACTGGCAGAAACTTCTGATGTACTCTATTAAGTCCCGACCCCAAAACAGCCAGACACTGCCTGGTGCAGCAGTGAGATACACCAAGAGACCCAGAATAAGCACCCTCTTGAGGGAAACCTTCCAGAGACTGTGAACACATACACAAAGGGAATTCAGGAGCTGAATCCGAATCCTAGAGAGACTTAGCAATGCCTCTTTAGGCCTTTTTTTTTTTTTTTTTGTGAGATGGAGTCTCACTCTGTCACCCAGGCTGGAGTGCAGTGGCACGATCTCAGCTCACTGCACGTTCTCCCTCCCAGGTTCAAGCAATTCCATGTCTCAGCCTCCTGAGTAGCTGGGATTACAGGTGCATGCCACCACACCTGACTAATTTTTGCATTTTCAGTAGAGACAGGGTTTGGTCATTTTGCGCTGAGCTCAAAACTCCTGGCCTCAAGTGATCCACCTGCCTCTGCTTACCACAGTGCTGGGATTACAGGCATGCACCACTGCATTGGGCCTCTTCAGTCTGTTTTAGTAGGATTATACTTTAGTATCCAACAATTATTTCTCTTCCTACAGGGTAAACTTCTATCCAGAACCTGTGTTTTAATTGCTTCTTCGTCTTGTTCAGTTGTTTTTATGCTTGAAGGAGTCAAGGTAGGTGAGGACTCCCATAATTTTAGGAAAGCCATGTACTTGACAGATGTTTAGAAACTCAAACGTTTCCATTTCAAACCCAAAGCTGCCATCTGTAAGCATCAGTACCTACAAACAGAACACATCATTTCTCAAAGAAACTACCAAAACAGACCACCTACACTAGGGGTTGGCAACTGGCCACGGGCCAAATCCAGTCCATCACCTGTGTTTGTAACTAAAGTTTTATTGGAACACAGCCACATTAATTCATTTACATATTGTCTGTGGCTGCCTGTGCACTACAACTGCAGAGCTAAGTAGCTGCAAGAGATGTGATCCACAAAGCCGAAGATATTTACTATCTGGTCCTTGACAGAAAAGTCGCACTCCAGACTAAGTCAAATGACTACACAGGCATCACCCAGACAGAGAAACCACCACCCTCTTACCTGCTCTAAAAGCTAACCATAAGACAATGTCCACTAGGATATAAACTTCCATTTTAAGAATTTTAATGCATGAGAAGTAACTCAGAAAAGGCTGGGTCTAACCTGGTCCTTACCTAAGAAATCCTAATTTAAAGAAATGAAGTTTTCTGTAATGTACTTTTAAGCCAAATAACAGGTCTCTGACACCCAAAGAATGGGAAGCAAGTGATAATCAATGAAATATATTAAATATGTACAGAAAACCAACTTCTTGTTTCAATATCCTCAAAAAAAAAAAACCAGTCTTTTTTTTTGAGAAGCATGCAGTGGAAACCTCTATCTTGCATGTTAACTTGTATAACTCAATTGCTCAGAAGTATTTTTTAAATAGGTACCAGTTTAAAATTAAGTCAAAAAACCGTAAGATTATAATGAATGGTAGTCTATAAGAAAATATAAACAGATAAGACCAATTTTTAAAATTTAAGACACTTCAAAGATGCAAAATAATTTCAGAATTGATTCCTGGAAACTTGTAATTTTAATATTAAATACACTTTTGTTCTTATCTTTCCATAGATAAACTAAAAATAACAAAATATGGAAACAGAAATGCCCATCTTTGATTAAACTAAGTAGTCAATAGAATATCAGAAATAGTAAACATTATCATTTCCATAAATGCAAGAGCGTGTACATTTTCCGTACACTGAGTACTGTCTAGATTTTCTATTGATAAATTCTGACCACTTCTTCAGGCAATTCATGTACTCTAGCATTATCATTAAGGATGAAGGTTCTGGAACCATCGAGAAGAAAGGTCCCATCTTCACACAAGTTACTTAATTGCTGGGAGCCTCTATTTCATCTTTTGTAAGCTACAGATAATGCCTACTCACCTGAAGGGTGTATCAAGGGTCTATGTAAGCCAAGTTTGTAGAAAGCAGTCAGCACGGTGACAGGAAGGGTCCAAGAAGAAATGACAATTACTATGATATATTTTTACATATCTATGTACACATATTAATGAGCTCTTATTAGCTGTGTTCATTAAAGGTTTTCTCCATCCTGTGATGTGCTCTAAGATTTTGGAATACACGTCATTGTACACATTCCATGTTTATTATTAATATAATAACATTTATTACTATTATTATCATCAATTCAATCACATCTACTGTATCCCTGATGATGATCATGTTTCCTTTAATAATCATAAAACTCTCTTCCCTTCATCACAGGGTAAATAACCTATCACAGTGCTGTAAGTCTCCATCAGCACCCCAGGATGCCCCTGCTGACTAACCAGATCTGCTGCTTTAGCCAGACAAACTATCACGTTAATGTCACACCCACATTCAATAATGGTGAGTCTGCACTTTTTACCTGTAAGTGAAAAGATGAAAACTTTACTTTAAAAAGACCCTGAAAAAACTGTAACCATCAATGTTAATTTTCATTTTTGTAATTGCATCCAGTAAAACACCATATATGTTTATAGGAGTGTACCAGAAGTTCATTTTTATAAGCAAAAACTGGTAAAATAAAATAAATTCCATCCTGTTTTCCTTGCTGTGTTCTAAATTTAAATAATATCAAAAGTCTACCCAGATGAATAAAAGCGCTCAAACAGGGAAAATTCTGACTTGACAGGCTCCATAATAACCATGATCTTGCTGTTCAGCTGCAGGCCAATGTCTTCACCTCTATCAAAACTTCCCGTATTCCCACTATAGCTACAAATATCCTCAAACATAATGTAACAGAATATTCATAATGATAATCATTTCTAAATTAAGGTTATAAGAAAATGGTCAAGAAAATATGGGCTGGGCACAGTGGGACGCCAAGGCAGGCAGATCCCTTGAGCCCAGGAGTTTTGAAACCAGCCTGGGCCACATGGGGAAACCCCATCTCCCCCAAAAAAACAAAAACAAAAAGGAGGACGGGCGCAGTGCAGCAGGTCATGCCTGTAATGCCAGCAGTTTGGGAGGCCAAGGCAGGTGGATCACTTGAAGTCAGGAGTTCGGGACCAGCCTAGCCAACATGGTGAAACCTCATCTCTACTAAAAGTACAAACATTAGCCAGGCGTGGTGGTGCATGCCTGTAATGCCAGCTACTCAGGAGGCTGAGGCAGGAGAATTGCTTGAAGCCAGGAGACAGAGGTTGCAGTGAGCTGACATCGTGCCACTGCACTCCAGCCTGGGCAACAGAGCAAGATTCTGTCTCAAAAAAAAAGGAGGGGGGTGAAGAAAAATTAGTCAGGTATGGTGGCATACACTACTCAGGAGGTTAAGGTAGGAGGATTGCCTGAGCCTGGGAGGTTGAGGCTGCAGTGAGCTGTAATCACACCACTGCACTCCGGTCTGTGCCACAGCGTAAGACTGTCTCAAAAAAAAGGAAAAGAAAATATGGATGCTCCAAAGATAAAGAAAAACTTCAATCTAACTATATTACTGCAATAACAAGAGACTTCAGAGTGTGCATTGCCATTCTACCACTGGAAGTTTATTTCATCTTCCTTCAAACTTGGAAAGGTCACCATCTCCCAAAGCAGACAATTCTTACAGGAAAAAGAGAAAAAGCGCATTTCCACCAGCATGTGGCTTCATAAGGGCAAGCATGTGCACCTGGCACATAGGAGGTACGTGCTCTCTGTTAAATGATGTGTTCACAGTGACCAGGTCTGCTAGGCCCTTCCAAGGAACATGCTTGGTAAAGCCATAGAGCAGTCAGGATAAGATATGTATCACATCCTTATCTCTAGGAACTTACCCTTTTCTGAAGCTATAGCCAACAGTAAAAGTATAAGAGAGGTAACATAATATAACAATATTTAACATGCTCCACTCAAGTAAACAACAAACACACGCATGTCCCTCAGATGACAACAGCCACGCCAACTCTGTATCTGGCATCTTTTACCTGACACGATCGTCACAAGGCCTCTGATCTCGGTCAACTTCTACCAGGTGAAGTTCGGAATGAGGCATTATATCAAAGTGCTCTTTCCAACTTTGGAGGCCCCGTCACCACTGCCACTATTGATGGGGGCTCTAGTGGAGTTCAATCAACCACTGGAATATGATGTTTTTTGTCTTCAAATCCTGAGTCCTATTCATTTAAAAAAAAAAAAAAAGTAAACTCACTTTCAAAATAGAGTAAAAGGTATCAACCTTGTAAGTAGACTTTTTTTTAGTATACTTATAGATATGAGTACTTTAGTGTATTTTGTAGAGAGTACAACAGACAATATATAAATATAATTAACTTGTCAGTTATTAACTTGTTAATTTCTGGCCCCTATCCAAACAATTACTGTTTAATAAAGATGTAACAAGATGACTTCAATGGTATAGAGAGTTGAAAATTAAACACTTCTTAAATCTGACTGTTTTATGAGTGATTTTAATAATTTTTAAAAAATCAAAAAGTAAATACCAAAGCAGTGCATCATAACAGATAAGAGCAGAGGCTCTGGAGTTAAATTTGGCTCTCCTACATACTGGTTATATGATTGGAGGTAACGTGTTTTCTTGACCCCAGTTTTCTTATCCATAAAATGAGGACAAGAATGATTCCTACTCCAGTGAGGCTGCTGGAAGGATTTAGTTGAATAACGTTTAAAGTACACTGCTAAGAATATCACAAGACTCACTAAATAAAGCTGTTAGTATTAAATATTGTAATTTTTGTATTTTATATTACAACTACATAAAACATATCCAAGGGGGAAAGCACACTTATCACCATAGAAACAGTTTAAAGTTTAGGAAGAAACAAATTCTGTAAATTCTTTTATCCTGGGCAAGAAACACCAACCAGTGTGCAGATGCTGGAGGCAAGGCAGCTTCTATGGGAAAGGCTTCTCACATTTTAGTAAAAGTCACATACCATGCATCTCCTTGTCCTTTGGAGCTGGACTAGACTTGTGAATACACATGTCACCTGTGAAAGGCTCCTACTATTTAAAAAGAATCAATGGAAGAAGCACCAGACTGCAGCTAAACACACCTGTGAAAGGATTGAGCCATCTGCACAGCGGACTGAACTGCAACAGCTTTGGGATTTCTCTTCGCAGCATCTTCTTCATCCCCTACCTGGAGATCCTGCAGATGCCACTTCTTTTTCTTTTCAGCTTTGGACCCACTATTTTTCTTTCTGTGTTTCTTCTAGTCTCCATAGTTGCCATTTGCCAATAACAAGTAACTAACCTACAAAGAAGAAGGTTGGGATAAGGAGATGGGAGAAGCATTTACAATCCAGGCAATACCCAGAAAAAAAAACAATAAATCTCATTTATGTCTTTACGAAGAGATGATGTATTTGTTCACCGAACAAGGGTAGAAACTGATTAATCATCCCCAATTTCTTTTCTCTCTGTTATGCTATAAATTAGATGACTTACTTCTGCTAAATTTACATTTCATGGTTAAGTTACTTTTTATTCATCTTAAGTGTCAACATCAACAGCATGAATTTTTGCAAGGATGGAAATATTATATATCTGCACTTTTTGGTCATTTAGCCATTAGCCTCATGTGGTTACTTAAAATGTACTTAGGGAAACTGAAGAAAGTGAATTTTTAATTAATTTCATTCTAACTCTAAATAGTCACATGTGGCTACCATACTGGATGACTCAGACCTAGATAACAACTGGACTAATGAAGTGGTTTCCTAACTTAATCTACATTTTAATAAAAAATTATAAACATTTTTATAAACCTCCAATATGATTGAAGTATTACTTTTAGTACCTGTTGACTCTGTAAAACTCCTAAATTACAACTCATCTACATACATTTGAAAAATAGCAGTATCTGTATGTGTGAGATATGACTAGTTCTAGATGACGCCTGGAGACCCCATGGACTTACAGAGACCCTTTCAGTGATTTCTGAGGTACCTGGGAATCTGTGGCCAATGAATTGGTAATCACTGAATTAGTGAGCTTTTTTAGGAAATCAGGCTCCATAAAATCTGCATAAAATCAACCGTCCTGGCTGCTTTTATGGGCTGGCATTGAGTATCTGCAGCTTTTCCAGGTGCATGCTACAAGCTGTATGTGGATCTATCATTCTGGGGTCTGGAGGATGGTGGCCCTCTTCTCATAGCTCCACTAGGCAGTATGCCAGTGGGGACTCTGTGTGGGGGCTTCCACCCCAAATTTCCCTTCCACACTGCCCTAGCAGAGATTCTCCATGAGGGCCGCACCCCTGCAGCAAACTTCAGCTTGGACATCCAGGAGTTTTCATACATCCTCTGAAATCTAGGCAGAGGTTCCCAAACCTCAATTCTTGGCTTCTGTGCACCCGCAGGCTCAACACCACATGGAAGCTGCCAACACTTTGGGCTTGCACCCTCTGAAGCCATGGCCCGAGCTATACCTTGGCCCTCTTTAGCCACAACTGGAGCAGCTGGGATACAGGGCATTGAGCCCATAAGCTGCACATAGCAGTGGGGGCCTGAACCTGGCACAGGAAAGCATTTTCCCTCCTAGGCCTCCATGCTTGTGATGGGAGGGTCTGCTATGAAAGTCTCTGATGTACTCTGGAAACATTTTCCCTATTGTCTTGGTGATTGACATTCAGCACCTCATTGCTTGTGCAAGTTTCTCCAGCAGGCCTGAATTTCTCCCCAGAAAATGTTTTTTTTTTTTTTTCAATTGCATCATCAGGCTGCACATTTGCCAAACTTTTATGCTCTGCTTTCTCTTGAATGCTTTGCTGCTTAGAAATTTCTTCTACCAGATACTCTAAATTATCTCTTTCAAGTTCAAAGTTTCACAGATCTCTAGGGCAGGGGCAAACTGCCATTGGTCCCTTTGCTAAAGCATAACAAGAGTCACTTTTGCTTCAGTTTCCAAGAATTTCCTCATCTCCATCTGAGACCACCTCAGCCTGGACTTTATTGTCCATATCACTATCAGCCTTTTGGTCAAAGCCATGTAACAAGTCTCCAGGAAGTTTCAGACTTTCCCACATTGTCCTGTCTTCTGAAGGTCAACTTCTGTGGGATTTCAGGAGCCAGAGGAGATACACTGGACTATCTGAATTCTTGAGTTTTTCAATCTGTTTATATGAATAGACTACTCAACCTCTGATAGAGATATCTCTCTGTCTTGCCTTCCTTACTGAGGTCACCTGCAAGACAGAGAAGGAAAGGGACCAGTGCAGCTACAGCGGAGGAGCCTTTGCTTAGGCTGATTGAGAAAGTCACTGCCAGAGTGAGCATGCGCTGGATGGCAGAGGCTGGCTGCTTCTTGTAGTGTGCCTCACCTCTGTACAACATGTCTACTGATGAGAAAAGACACATCCAGCCAAACACAGAGGAGCTGGGAAGGCTCATCTCTGCTTTCTCCTCACATCTGTCTTAGTTTGACTCTTCATTTTGAAGCCAATAGAAGTTCAGTCAACCTTGGCCAAGAGGGAGTTT